ATATATATATATATATTACATATATATATGAATAAATAAATAATATGTAAAACTATTTTACTTACTGCATTAGAATTAAAGATAGGTAATACTGCCACTTCAAAATTATTACGAAACACATGATAGTTTCCCACTTTATATTTAGAATATTGTGAGTGAGTTATGACTTTTCTGTTTACAAGTAGTATTGTTTCAGATGAAAAAAAGATTAAATTTTATATACTTATAAAATAATACTAACTCAATTCGTGCCAATATTGTTCTTTCCTCACGATTTTTTACTAGCACAATATCAAATCCAATCCTATTACCATCTTGACCTTTAACTTCTTCAGTATAAAATCCATTAAATTTATAATTTTCTTCTTCTATCATTGAAATTAATTTTTTACATATTGTAGTTTTTCCTATACCTATAGTAATTTTAACTTAAAATTATTATTCCTTTTTTTTTAATAAAATAATAAATAAAATTAATCAAAAAGTTAATTTTCAAAAAAATAAAATTGTTTTTACTTATTATATTATATAATATTTTTAAAATTGCATATGTTATAATGAAAATTCAAATTATTCAAAAATTTTAGTAATTAAAATAAAAATATAAAGCATATTAAAAACATTTAAAGGTTAGTAATAAATAATTTTTAAAATATTTCGTAATTTTTAAAAGTGGCGGACTTACCAGGTGGTCCAGTCAGAAGTACGCGTGAGACACGCAACGCGGCGCCGGTATCCATGCTTCTTGTTTTTCTAAGTTTAAGTAGTAACTATAAGTGACATTTGCACATACAAATAAAAATAAATAATCAAAACACAGAAAAAAAATATTTTGGATTAAATATAATTATTTAATCAGAAATGTATGTATTTCAAAAATATTGATAAAAGATTGAAATAGAAAGACTGATAAAATTACCGCAACGTGGAGCCGCTGGATAGCGATCAGCTGATCGTGCTCGAGTAAGACAATCTGTTCGGGTGGGCTGAAACGCCTGTGTATATGTAAGTATCTAATACTTCGGTTGCGTTCAAAAGTGCGTTGGTGCGTGATACGCGTCTCATGTAACCTATGCTTGTGTGAGTTTGTGAGGTGTATATTCGCGACACGTCTGTCACAGAATAAATATAAGATCGACCACGACAAGACTTATAATAGTTACAACCTATAATAATCTCGTAAATTTGATTGCGCCACAAATTTCCTTATTCTGTAGGTTTCCCTGTTTTTCTAAATACATGAGATAGTCTTAGAATTTTGAAGTGTACGAAGGATTATTTAATCGAAGAAGAGAATACGGGCGTTCGTTACAGGATACATGGAAGAAAGGGACGAAGGGTGAAGACGACGGTTTTGTCCGTTTTCATATACATATCAGTATCTGCAAAGAAGAAATGGCTCGTCCTTCCAATTGTAATCCGCTTTCCTATCTCGTCGAAAGACAAATCGACGACAAAGTCGATTACTGTAAACGTCTCGTTAACGCCAGATTCGAAAGCTCCGAAAATTTGTTTAGAAAAGATCTATTATCGCATTATGGATGCGTTAATGCAATTGAATTTTCGAATCAAGGAGATCTTCTTGTTTCTGGTAAAAAGTTAACAATGTATTTTATTTATTTTATTTACGGTACTATGCCCGTCGACTTAGGAAATTCAAGTTTGACGGAAAATTAAAACCGTATAATATTTTAAATATAAAATTATAAAATTGTACTGTATTATTTTTTAGATACTGATTTTTTTAATATGTTAAATTGATTATTAAAATAAAAATATAATTTGAAATATTTTATTGTTAATGTAACAGGTGGTGATGACAGAAGAGTTTTATTATGGAAAGTGGAGCAAGCAATACAAGATGTAGGCAAACCTGCAGTAATGAAAGCTCAACATATTAGTAACATTTTTTGTCTTGGTTATGATAGTAGCAAAACAAAAATATTTTCTGCTGGAAATGATGATCAAGTTATTGTTCATGATTTACGAACGTATGAAATTTTTATTATTAAAAAAAATTTTGTCTGATCATATAAAACTAAATAACTATTTCTTTTATAATAAAGGGGAGATGTTGTGAATTTCTTTTTACATCAAAAACCTGTTTATGGATTGTCAGTACATCCACATAATGACAATGTATTTGCAAGTGCATGCGATGATGGCAGAGTTTTAATTTATGATATACGAGGATCTAGTGCTATGGAAACATTTTGTTTAGCACGATATAAAACTGCTTTTCACTCTGTAATGTTTAATCCTATTGAACCTAGGATGCTTGCTACCGCCAATGCTAAAGAAGGTGTTAGCATGTGGGATGTAAGAAAACCTTTAAAGTAAGTAATCAATGCAAATAAAAAATATAAAAATATTTTATAAAAATAACAATCTTTTTGTATTTACAGACCTATATTACGTTATGGAAATGAAACTTCAGCTCAAAGTTGCATGAATGTTAGATTTAATGCAGCAGGTAATAGATTATTAGCTTTGAGAAGAAGATTGCCTCCTGTACTTTATGCTATAGACTCTTCTACTCATTTATGTCAATTTGATCACCCTGGATATTATAACAGTTGCACAATGAAATCATGTTGTTTTGCTGGAGATAACGATGAATATGTACTTTCTGGTAAATAATGCGCTATAATAATATTTATAAATAAATATAAATTAAAATTTGTATATTTGTATATCAACTTATGATTTTAAGGTTCTGATGATTTTAATTTATACATGTGGAAAATTCCTTCTGAGAATATAAAATGGGTAAATTCTGCACATATGGTATTACGTGGTCATAGATCTATTGTAAATCAAGTACGGTACAATCAAGCTAGTTGTATTTTTGCTTCATCCGGAGTTGAGAAACTTATTAAGATTTGGAGTCCGTTTCCTCTTGGAAGTAATTGCTTAGGTGGATTAAAGGTAATACAAAATAATTTTAATATAAAATGTATTAAGATGAGTAATTCAAGCAGATAAAAGATGATTTTATATGAAAAAATTTTAATTAATTTATTTTTGAAAAGTTTTTTGAAAACAAAAAAATTTTATTTTTTTTGTTAAGTCATTTTTATATATATAAAATCGCCGTTTATTTGCTTGTATCATTCATCTTGAAATATTCTGTATATATTTTTTAATATAATATAATAACATATACTATTATTTTTTTATATTTATACTTTAGAGAGATGATGGAAAACAAGAGAGGCAACGTAGAGTATTTACACATGATGAATATATTGGATTAGTATTACGTAGTGGTCAATTTATGACACATGACTATAGCCATCAATCAACCAGAGAAGATCCTAGAATGATGGCATTCTTTGATTCATTAGTACAACGCGAAGTTGAAGGCTGGAGTTCTGAAGATATGTCAACAGCACCTCAAACTCCTAGTGATTCTGAAAGTAATCTTATAGCTGGACGGGTTTATAGCGCAACAGATTCTGATGGTATTTTTAAATTAAAATTATATTGAAATAATAAGAAATTATTATAATAATATAATAATATATATTAATAATATGTACAATTATAAAGAATTTTAAATAAAATATTAATATTTTTTTTTTTATAGATTCTATAGCATCTGATCGTCAATTGATGTTAAGTATTTTGGGACCTGCAGTAACATTGGCATCTCATGGATCCTCTGGAGGTGGTGTAGCTCCTGAAAGACCTTTAGAGTCTCCAAATCGTATAACACGACTTATAGCATATCGTAGAGAAAAACTAATGAGACTTGCATCTGTAGATTGTGGTGAACCAACAAATAATACTTCAGCTGCAGTGTCAGAACCATCTGCATCAGGTTCTGCTAGTGAAGGGGACAATACACAAATTAAGTGTAAATCTAAATCAAAATTAAAATTTATAAAAAGAAAACATGGTAAAATTACTGAAATCAGAAGAGCTGGAATAAAGTGTGCAGTGCTACAAATTAATAGTGACTCTGATAGTGATGAACAACCTGTTGATACAACTCAACCTAGTACCAGTTCTGGTGTAGTTTCTAGAAGATCAAGATATGTTGTGCATATTGAAAGAGATGCAAAACATTCAAATTATAGTAGCAGTAGTTCAGAAGATAATGATATTTCTAGTAAACGAAAACATTCAAAAACTGATTCTGATACTTCTACAAAAGTACACAGAAGAAAACATAAGAAATGTAAAAGTAATTCAAAAAGTGATATTTCTAAAAATAAGAGCAAAAGACAAAAAATTGATTATGATACAAAAAAAAAGAAATCAGATTGGAAGCTTTATTTAAATGATGTTAGTAATACAATAAAAGTTCAAAAAGATGGTTCATCTATGTCAGTGAACAAATCAAGCAAAGTTCCTTCAACTCCTGACAGTGGTATCACATCAGGAGTGTCTACAAGTGAAAAAAATGGTGAACAAGCACAGAAAGATCAAAATGATGCAGAGAGTTCAGATCACGAGCAAAAACTAAAAAATCTAGAATATTTTAGAAAAAAAGTGAATGTAGTAAGAAGGAGCTACCGTATTCGATCTAAACCCTTGTCTCAAACTATTTCAACTACAACCGATTCTTCCGATTAAGCTCCTTACCTTCGACTTTTTAATCCCTTTCCTTTTGTACATAATAAATCTGTGATTCCTTGAAGTATATTTTTATAATACTAAGTTTGTTCACATGCGAATATGACCGGTTTTTCTATCTTCTTTTAGACTTTATTATTTTTCTGTTATCTTCATATGTATCCTACATTTTATTGGAATCTCTTATGATGCAAGACTGTCTTAAAAAAAATAAATCTTCTCTCACCATTTAAAACAATTTTGATTATAATCTAATTACAACATTTCATAATTGGTACAAAGGGTTGCGAATTTAGTAGTCTCAAATGTTAAAAATTATTAACAATTGACGTCTCAATTATTTAGAATTCGATTTATTATAATAAAGTAAACATGTTTGGATATGACCATTAAATCATATATAATCGAAACTCCAGCAAGACACCGCCGAGAATTATAGGTAAATTAATGCTGCATTAGCTATAATAAATGATTCAGCTAATGTATATTGTTGACATGGTTTGTAAGTGTGATGGAAAATAATAAAACAATAAATTGATATACATTTTTTTCTTATATGTTTAGCTTTGAAAACAAATTAAGAATATTGCATTATTTAATCCTGCATTTATACGTCTTTATTAACTTATAATAAATAAAGGAAAGAATTATCTAAATTTATGCATTAATTTATTATCCAATAAATATTTTATTTAATATCAAATATAAGTTTTAGTTTAATTTTAATATAAAGTATAAATATAAGAAATTTAAATTTAAATATGATTAATTTCTTTATGATGTCATTGTGGTATGAATATATATATATTTCCTGTAAATACCACTTCCTGTAAATAAATTCTTAGTTCTTCCAGTTTTAAAAGTAGTACATATAATGTTTTCTGATTGTTCACTTTATTAATATTAATAATTCAAAATGATATATTTAACTTTATTAAAAATTAATATATGGTTTCCTATTTTTGTATTTATAATTTTAAAATATAATACATTAGCATATAATTTAGATGTTAATAATGTTAAAATATTTAATATTCCTAAAACTTTTAATAATCAACGAGGAAGTTATTTTGGATTTTCTGTTGCACTTTATACAGAAGGGCTAGATTCCATACTTCTTGTAGGTGCTCCCAGAGCAAATTCAAGCACAATAAAAAATGTAATTGAACCAGGTACTGTATATCAATGTTCAATTAATAAGACCTGTAAGGAATGGATTATTGATAAAAGTGGAAATGGTGAATATAGTGAGTGGAATCAAATTAAAGATAATGCCTGGATTGGTGCAACAATTGCTGTAGAAAATAAAACCAATCCTAGAATTGTGGTATGTAAATTCTTTATTCATTTCTTCATATATATATTTTTTAAATATAATTAATATCTAAAGATATAATTAATATTTTTTAATTAATTAATTAAATTTATAAATAGGTTTGTGGTCCACGATGGAAAAAAAAAGACAAATATAATTGGTACATGAATGGTATTTGTTACTTGTTATTAGTTAACAATATTAAATTTTTTGAAAAAGAAGTTGAAAACAAAATTTTATCACTTTCAAATTATTCGAATTTTATATATCCAAATAATAGAAAAGTTTATAATTTTGAAATGAGTCAAGTTGGTTTTTCAATGAATATGGTATCTGGATTAAAATGGAAGTTAATATTAGGTAGTCCTGGTGTATTTAATTGGAAAGGCTTACCTTTATTAGTTAAAAAACCAATTTATGGGAAAATACAATTTATAATTCCGTCAACTAAAAATGAAAAAAGAATTCGTGAAAATAGTTATTTCGGTAAATAGTACACTTTTAATACTAATTATTTTTATAATATGAATCGTAAAAAACATTTATATAAAAAAATATTAAAAAATATTTATTTATTTAT